GGAACGGAGCCACGTGGGACAGACGACCCTAGATCGGTCTCCTGCTCCAGACCCAGAACCTCTCTACCAGATGTTCCCAGCTGTGGGTGGGCACATGGAACACAATGCACAAGCCACCCCGTCAACACACTGGCATCAGTTCTGCTTCTCCATTCCCAACCGCTGCTCAAGGGTGTCCAGCCTCCTCCCGGCCTGGGCCTGTTGGGTGCAAAGCATTCTTCTGCAATTGAATCAAAGCCCTCCTCCCTGACACGGGACTAAGTGGAAAAAAAAATCAGAGGAAAAATGCCTGGGGCCCAGGTCTGGGAAGGGGCCCAACAACTTTTACTGGGGGTAGGGGAGGGTGCCTTCAGTGAGGAACTCCGCCCCGACACGGGCGGTGGACCGAGGACTCAGGCGTGGGTATATGCCTTGAAACACGACGGCAGCGGCCACAAGTGGGTCTCAGAAGACCTCCCAAGTTGGGGGTGGGGGAAGGGAGGAGACCTGCGTTAAACACAGACTCAACTTTCCGGCCTTAAGCCTTTTTGCAGTTCTTTCTCAGCCCTTCTCTAACCCGAGCCGTGGCCCCCAGCTGTCCCCAGACGCACGGGGTGTGGCGGGTAACCCCCCTTCTCCAGCAGGCGCCCTGCCCCACCCCTTCACGACAGCTGCGGGACACCGGGAGGGTGGCCGCTCTCCAAGCCCTTGTGCGGGTGGGGATCGCAGGGCGCTGCACGAGGGGCGCTGGGTCTCTCTGGGTAGCCCGCCTCCATTGGGTCCGGGAACTGCTCCCCTGAGACTGCACAGCCCCCTCCTCTCCTCGCCAAGCAACCCGGGCCAGAAGGAAAGGTGGAGAGAGAAGAAGGTTCGGGAAGCGCGGCTGGGCCGCCCCTCATCACACCCCACCCCAGCCCCCCATCCCCCTCCCACCCTCTCCCCGCCCCCAGGGCCGCAGGGCCCGCGCCCTCCTCCCGCGGGAGATGGTCCGGGCCAAGTGGGCGCGTCCGGCCCGGGTCGCCGGGATCTGGTGTCCGCTGCAGCTGGCAGTGCGGCGGACGCGGGCACCGGCACAGCCGCCGGCGGGGTCGGCTATTAATAACGCTCCGGGCGAGCCCGGGGTCGGGCAGTCATGGCCAGTCCGGAACCCCTGCGCGGCGGGGACGGCGCCCGGCCTGAGAGGTAGGAGCCTCCAGGGCCCGTGTCGCCACCCAGTAGGAGAGGTGGTACTAGGTGGGCTCCCGTCCTCCACCCGCGCGGCCCCTTCCTCGCCGTGGGTAGTGGTCCGGCCCGGGTGTGGCACGGGGCGGAGTCACCCGGGGAAGGGAGATGGGAGGCCCAGGCTTGGGGACCTGACACCTCTGGTGGTCTGTGGTATTTTGGGATACTTCTTCCACCCGCTGCATGAGAATTAATCCTTTCAGGCTAGCAACCTGTCAAGATTTACTTGGCTCAACTGCCCAAGCATAGTACAAGTTTTATTTTATTTTTCTTTATTTCTCATTCACTGTTCTTGGGGCAAGGAAGAAACCATTTGATAATCCACTGTATTTGAGCCACTTGGTGCAGGGTTGGGCACCTGCCAGCTTGAAGTTACCAGTCTGTTCAGTCAGCTTGTTCTTCCCCGTGTGGATCCGGTGAAGGCCTATAGAGGGATTTTTCTCTTAGCCCAACGCTGGGCCATAGCTGGACCCAGCAGCTGCCCGCACTGTGGATCTGACCACTGGTGTGTGTGGAGTCGTTCTTTCCCAAGTCATGCTGTGGCCCAGAGACTTCCCCGGTCTATCAAATCGTGGGAAGACTTCTGGTACCCTCTGTTGTCACGTGAGAAGATAAAGCTGAGCTGGACCTTAGGACATGCATTTTCCCCGAATTGCCCACACACATACTAACAAGCTTGACGTCAGACACAAGTTCTTGTCTGCCTGATGTCATACACACAACCAGTCACAGTCTGATGGACAGCGTTAAGGAGTTGTCCAAGTCCTCTGGGGACAGGGACAGAGCGGCAGTGGCACCGAGGTCAGGGGCCCCAGCCGAGCATGCTCCTCTCTGCTTGGTCTCCTGTAATCTGCGTCTTTACCAGCTCAGTAGAGAAGCAGCTAGCTGTTGACAACATCTGGTACCTAGGGTGGTGTGGCAGCTCAGCCCAGAAGTCAGGAGGCCTGGGTCCTACACACCCACACCGGCTCTGCCATTTGACCTTGGGCAGATTTCCCCTTGGAGTTTAGTTGGCTTCTGATTGCCTTCCGAGGGCCCCACACTAGGGTACAGACAACTGGCTTTGTCCTCAGGATGTCCCCTCTCCTCCAACGGACACATGCACTTTCATAAAACAAAGTTGCTGCTCCGAAGGTGAGCTACATTCAGAATGTTGTGAGGTCGCAGTGGGCCTCGTCTGGGATGGAGTTGGAGAATGATCAGACATTTGTTAACTAAACCAATTTTTTTTTTCTGGGCTTGGGAATGAATTTAGGAATTCCTATATGCTAGGCAAGTTCTCCCCATCTCAGCCTCACCCCCTGACCCTACACTCCACCAACACCCTAGAAAGACATTCAGAGCCAGGTGGTGGTGGCATGTGTCTTTAATCCCAGAACTCTGGAGGCAGAGGCAGGTGGGTCTCTCTGAGTTCAAGACCAGCCTGGTCTACGAAGTAAGTTCCAGGACAGCCAGGGCTACTCAGAGAAACCCTGCCTTAAAAACAAAACAAAATGAAAAAAGACATTCTGAGTGCAATGCTCCAAACCCTCCTTAGGACTATGCGCAGTCTCAGGCAGAGGGTAGCTCTGCTGCCTTCTCCAGAACCTCAGGTGTGCTTCCCACGCCTTGCACCCTGACTTGCTCATCTCTGCACTGGGCATAACAGATGAACGGCTAAAAGTGAGTGTTCATGTAAGCGCTTAGAATAGTGCCTCGAACATGGTTAAGTCGTTCCAAGGTGGAACATGACGCAAAGGCCGTCAGCTGGGAAAGCGGGGACTCTGGCAGAGCAGGATAGGTGCGCCTGCCCGCCCGAGCAGGTGCTCCTTCCTAGTGCCAGGAGTCTTACCTTCTCTGGAAGCTCGGGTTAGTGTTTTTAGGCACATTGGTATTCAGGAAGTTGCATTTTTCAGCTAGATCCTTCAGATATTGAGGACCCTGAGTAGGAGGTGTGAAAAGTTACCACATGTTCTGGCTTGTCAGGCGCTGGGGTGGGAGAAGGGGTTGCAGGGGTGATGTGAGCTGAGGCTAAAAATGGTGAGCTAGGACCACCTCTTTCAAACTCTGAGAGCTCGGCATGGAGACACATGTCCGTAGTCTTAGCACCTGGGAGGTTGAGGCAGGAGGATTGTTAAGACTTCCAGGTTCGGGACTGGAGAGATGGCTCAGCTATTAAGGGTACGTGGTGCTCTAGCAGAAGACCTGGATTGGGTACCCAGCACCCACGTGGTGGCTCACAGCCATTCATAACTCCAGTTCCAGGGGATCTGATGCTTCTTTTTGTTTGTTAGTTTTAGTTTTTTGGGGGACAGGGTTTCTCTGGTAGCCCTGGCTGTTCTGGAACTCACTCTGTAGACCAGGCTGGCCTGAATTCAGAGATCCACCTGCCTCTGTCTTCCGAGTGCTGGCATTAAAGGTGTATGTAACCACTACCTGGCTCTGATGCCTTCTTTTAACCTCTGAGGGCACCGTGTATACCTGTGGTGCACATACATGCATGCAGGCCAAGCATCCATTCTTATAAGAATAAGTAAATAGCAGCACTCGGGAGGCAGAGGCAGGTGGATCTCTGTGAGTTCGAGGCCAGCCTGGTCTACAAGAGCTAGTTCCAGGACAGGCTCCAAAAGCTACAGAGAAACCCTGTCTCGAAAATCAAAAAAAAAGGCCGGGCGGTGGTGGCGCACGCCTTTAATCCCAGCACTCGGGAGGCAGAGGCAGGCGGATCTCTGTGAGTTCGAGACCAGCCTGGTCTACAAGAGCTAGTTCCAGAACAGGCTCCAAAACCACAGAGAAACCCTGTCTCAAAAAAAAAAAAAACCAGAAAAAAAAAAAGAATAAGTAAATAGAAAAAAAAAGATAGAGAGAGCTCTAGGCCAGCTTGGACTACGTAGTGGGTACCAGGTCATCCTGAGCGTTACAGCAAAGGCTTTGGAAATATGGCACGGAGCAACCGTGTTGTAGCCAGCGAATTGTAGCTAGACTGAGCTGCAGAGAAGCAAAGAGGCCCGTTATAAGGCAGGTACAGCTATGTGGTGGCGACACATGCCTTTCTTCCTTTCTTTATTCCCAGCACTCAGAAGGCAGAGACAGGTGGATCTCTGAGTTTGAGGCCAGCCTGCTCTACAGAGCAAGTTCTAGGACAGCCGAGGCTGCATAGAGAAACCCTGTCTTGAAAAAAAAAAAAAAAGCTGGTACAAAATAGAGCAAACAGATCATGGCTTGGACTAGGGACCTGACAGTGGATGGAAGATGCTGGACGGAGGCTGGAGACTTCCTCTTGTAAGGGTCAGTTTTCAGGGAGCTAGTTACAAGGGGCAGGAACCAGCAGTAGTTACATGGGGCAGGAACCAGCAGTAGTTACATGGGGCAGGAACCAGCAGTAGTTACATGGGGCAGGAACCAGCAGTGCACACCTCTTGCTAATCTCCCTGCCTTGGGGGCTGGGAGAGCTGTAATTTGAGTGCAGCCTGATCTCTGACCTCACCGTTAACACTGTGACACACACGCCGCCCTCCCAACACATAGTAAATAGATAAAATGTAAAAAGTATGTAAATTTGAAGCAATCACCTCGTCCCTTCACTTTTTCCCCCCTCGTGACAGGATTCCTCTGTGTAGCCCTGACTGTCCTGGAACTCACAGTTTAGATCAGGCTGGCCTCGAACTCAGAGATCTGCCTGCCTCTGCCTCCTGAGTGCTAGGATTAAGGCATGCACCACAGCCACCAGACTTTTTTTTTTTTTTCTCATAGAAGGTCTCAACATTTTGCCCTGATGGCCTGGAACTTGCAGTGCAGATCCGACTGGATAAGGACCTATACAGAGCTCCCTGCTTCTGCATGGGATTAAAGGCATGCACAATAATGCCCACCCACTTTTTCCCCCTAAAGAAGTAGGTTTTGATTATCTTCACCTGGTACTTTTTGACACCTCAAGCTCAGCTGCCCCCAAATTATAGTTCTCTTGAAGCTGGGTCTATGGCTCGGTCAAAACAGTACTGGTTGGACGCCGCCAACCACCTGTAATTTCAGCCCTGAGAGGAGATGGGAATCCCCAGAGCAGGCTGGCTGGGAAGGTTAGCCAATATGTGAGCTCTGCGTTTGATTGAGAGACCCTTCCTGTTGGAGGAGGCTGCTTGTTCATCTCCTGGCTGCTCGGAATCTAAATAATCACACAGAAACTGTATTATTTAAATCACTGCTTGGCCCATTAGCTCTAGTTTCTTATTGGCTAACTCTTACATCTTAATTTAACCCATCTCCATTAATCTGTGCATTACCACTAGGCCGTGGCCTACCAGCAAAGTTTCAGCACACCTGTCTCCAGAAGCGGCTTTATGGCTTATCCCTGACTCTGCCTCCTTTCTCCCAGCATTCAGTTTAGTTCCCCTGCCCCCAGCTCTATTCCCCTATAGCTCTGCTATAAGCCCAAAGCAGTTGCTTTATTAACCAATGATATTCACAGCATGCAGAGGGGACTCCCACACCACCTTCCTCGAGGATTAAGGGGGAAAAGTTATTCAGCATGGTTCTCAACATTAGTGTTTGGATCCATGGGCACATATGTGCATGTGTACATATACATATATGGGTGCCAGACTGAATTTGGACTCTATGCAGTCGAGGATGATCTTGAACTTCTGATTCTTCTGCTTCTACTTCCTGAGGGCTGGGGTCATCGAAATGCACCACCAACCTGTTTGCTTGTTTGTTTGTTTTTTAAGCCTTATGACAGCGTTCTGCCTGCATATATGCCTGCACACCAGAAGAGGGCATCAGATCTCATTATAGGTGGTTGTGAGCCACGATGTAGTTACTGGGAACTGAACTCAGGACCTCTGGACGAGCAGCAAGTGCTCTTAACCGCTGAGCCACCTCTCCAGCCCCGTACCTGGTTTTATGTAGTGCCAGGCCAGGATCAAACCCAAGGCATCCTAAATGTCGCTTGAGCACTATACCAACTGAGCTATGCTTGTGTGTTCACGTGCGTGCACATACGTGTGCGCGTGTGTGGAGGCCAGAGGTCAATTTTGGGTGTCCTCCTCAGCATTGAAACTGGAGCTCACCAGTCAAGCTACACTAAGTCTCTGGGGTTCTCCTGTTCTGTCCACTGGGTGCTAGGCTTAGTGTGACCACAGCATCTGGATTTTTTTTTCAAAGATTTATTTATGTATTATGTATACAACATTCCTTCTATGTATGCTCGCATGCCAGAAGAGGGCACCAGATATCATTACAGATGGTTGTGAGTCACCATGTGGTTGCTGGGAATTGAACTCAGAACCTCTGGAAGAGCAGTCAGTGCTCTTAACCTCTGAGCCATCTCTCCAGCCCCAAGCATCTGGATTTTTGCATGGGTGCTGGGGATCCAAATTCAGGTTCTCATTCTTGTGTGGAAAGCAAGCACATTACTGACTGGAGCCATCTCCCCAGCCCCTTGGTTTTGTTTCGTTTCCAGTTTTTTTTCAAGATAGAGTTTCTCTGTGCAGCCCTAGCTGTCTTGGAACTCACTTTGTAGACCAGGATTGTCTCAAACTCACCAAGAGCCCCTGCTTCTGCCTCTAGAATGCTGGAATTGAAGGTGTGTGCCACCACTGTCTGGCGGCGGCTGTGATTTTTTATTTATTCAGTTTTATGTTTAATTTTTTTTAATATTTATTTATTTATTATGTATACAATATTCTGTCTGTATGCCTGAAGGGCAGTTGAGGGCGCCAGACGTCTTTACAGATGGTTGTGAGCCACCATGTGGTTGCTGGGAATTGAACTCAGGACCTTTGGAAGAGCAGGCAATGCTCTTAACCACTGAGCCATCTCTCCAGCCCCCTTATGTTTAATTTTTAAAATTTATTTTTGGTATGTATGTGGGAAGGGGTGCATGGGACCAGAAGAAGGTGTCATACCCCTCCCTAAACTGGATGGAGTTGTAGGTGGTTGTGAGCCATCACGAGGATGCTGGGAGCCAAACTTTGGGTCCTCTGCAACAACACCCCAGAGCTCTTTACCACTAAGCCATCTGTCCAGCACTGCCCCCCATTTTAAATATTTACTTACTTATTGGGGGGTGCACTCATGGGACAGCTTGTAGAAACTGATTCTTTCCATTTGGACACCAAGGATTGAAGTCAGTTTATCAGTCTTGGTAGTGAGTGCCATTATGTGCTGAGCCACTCCCTGAACCCCCTTTTGTGTGTGTGTGTGGGGGTAGTTTCTCATGAAACCAGGTTGGCCTCAGCTCTCTAAGTACCCGAGGCTGGCCTTGAATTCCTGACCCCCTCCTTCCATCCCCCAGGTCCCGGGATTGGAGGTGTGTACTACCTACCACGTTTGTCTTTCCTTGTTTTCCCAAGAGAGTCTTTCCGTGTGGACCCTTGGACATGTTGTGTAGAACTGTGGGGCAGCCGGCAGTGTCTGAGAGTGAGTTTTCTGTTCTTTAAGCAACCTAAGCAGAGGCTAGCCAGTGACGCTGTGGTGCTGTCTGGGAATGCGAACAGTGGACTGGCTGGCTGTGGAAGAGGCAGATTAGCAAGGGAGTAGATAGAGTCTGTGAAGCTGCTGCAGCTAGCCCTGAGGTGGAGGCCCTGTTGACTCGTTAACAGAATCGGGCTCTCGGGCTCTCCTTCACGTCCATCTTCTCTCTTGCAGGGAAGCAGGCACAGAGGCCAGTTCTCTTCAGGACGCCAAAGCCCCGAAGGAGGCCATGACTTTGATCCCAGAGGCTACTCTATCTTTGGAGGGGACTGTGAACCTAGAAGACATTCTCTATCTGGGGGACTCGGTGGACTTTGAAGAGAGTCTCTATGTGGAAGAGTCTGAGAAGCCAGAGGAGACACTGTGTATCAATGAATCGAGGCAGCCGGAGGAGGCTCTGGATCTGGAAGAGCCGGTGAGTTCAGAGGAGCCCTTGTTTGTGGAGGAGCCTGTGAAACCAGATGAGGTACAGTTGTCCCAGGAGCCTGTAGAGCCAGCTAAGAACCCAAGCCCGGAGCAGACTGCTTTTGAGGGAGAAATGGTGGCCCCGGAGGAAAGCCTTCCGGCTCCACCGATTCCCAGCACAGAAGAGGACCTCAGCATGGAGGACCTGGAGCTGCTGGAGGGCCGTTTCGAGGAGTGTGTACAGGCTGTATCCCAGTTGGAAGAGGAGAGGGACCAGCTTATCCATGAGCTTGTGCTGCTCCGGGAACCAGCCCTGCAGGAGGTGCAACAAATCCACCAGGACATCCTGGCTGCCTATAAACTGCACGCCCAGGCCGAGCTGGAGTGCGATGGGCTCAGGGAGGAGATCCGGATAGTGAAGCAGAAGCTGTTCAAGGTGACCAAGGAATGCGTGGCCTACCAATACCAGCTGGAGTGCCGCCAGCAGGATGTGGCTCAGTTTGTCGATTGCAAGGAAGCGCTGAGCACTCGGGCAGCCCAGCTCTCAGGAGAACTGACCCAGCTCCGCGACGCCTATCAGAAACAGAAGGAGCAGTTGCAGCAGCAACTAGAAGCACCCCCAACCCAGAGCGATGGGCACTTCCTCCAGGAGAGGCGGCGGCTGTCGACACAGTTTGAAAATCTCATGGCAGAAAGCCGCCAGGGCCTGGAAGAGGAGTACGAGCCTCAGCTGCTGCGGCTCCTGGAGAGGAAAGAGGCAGGGACCAAAGCGCTACAGGACACCCAGGCCGAGATCCAAAAGATGAAGGAGGCCCTGAGACCCCTGCAAGCCGAGGCCCGGCAGCTCCACCTTCAGAACAGGAACCTGGAGGACCAGATCACACTCGTGAGGCAGAAACGTGATGAGGAGGTTCAACAGTACAGGGTAGGCCTTGCCCTCTGTGTCGGAGAGTTTTGCTATGTCGTTCAGGCTGGCCGGGAGACCTTAAGAAACTCGAGACCCTTCCTGCCTCAGCCGTCTGAGTGCTGGGATTATAGGTGTGTGCCACCATAGCCAGCAGAAGAGATGCCATTTAGGTGAAGGGAAGTCTGAGGTCTGTTTTATTTTTTTCGTTCCAAGATAAAGTTTCTCTGTGTAGCCTTGGCTGGTCTGGAACTCACTCTGTAGACCAGGCTGGCCTCAAACTTAGAGATCCACCTGCCTCAGCCTCCTGAGTGTTGGGACTATCGGTGTACCATACCCAGAGAGGTCTAATGCATTTGGGGTGGGGTTACCATTCAGTGTGAAAGCAGGGACCCTGCTCTTGGTTCCGCTAACTCATTCTTTCCCCTAGCTCTGTATTTATTTCATTTGGTTAAGGCCAGCGTTAGGATTTGATGGGTATTTGAATTCTTGGTGTACACAGCTGTTTGTGTGTGTTGGGGATTGAGCCCAGGGTCTCGTGCTTGTTTGGCAAGTACTGCACCACTGAACCATATCCCCTCCCCATCCCCTTTTTAAAAAATCTTACTCTGTTTACTTTATGTATATGGATGTTTTATCTGCATGTATGTATGTGCACCATGTGCATGCAATGCCCAAGGTGGCCAGAAGAGGGCAATGGATCCCCTGGAACTGTGAGCTACAGTGAGGGTGCTGGGAACTGCACTTGGGTCCTCTTCAGAACACCACGCTCTTATCCCTTGAGCCATTTCTCTAGCTCCACACCCCACCCTGACAATTATTTTCACTTTTGGTTTATATAACTTTGTTGGGGGGGGGCAGTGGATCTCGGGGATTGGACCCAGGGCTTCATGCATGCTTGGCAAGCTCTCTACCACGGAGCTTTATCCTCAATCCTCTCTCTCTTTAGTAGATTTTGTTTGTTTTTTGAGATAGTATTTTTCTGTGTAACAGCCCTGAACTCACTCTGTAGACTAGACTGGCCTTGAACTCATAGAGACCCTCCTGCCTCTGCCTCCTGAGTGCTGGAATTGAAGGTGTACACCACCACCAAGCCTTTAAATACAATTTTTAAGATTTATTTATTTTATAAATATGATGCTCTATCTGCACCTATGCCTACAGGCCAGAAGAGGGCATTAGATCCCATTGTTGTGAGTCACCAAGTGGGTTCTGGGAATTGAACTCAGGACCTCTGGAAGAGCTGCCAATGCTCTTAACCACTGAGCCATCTTCCCCCCCCCCCACCCCAGTTCTCTTTTTATTTGAGACAGGGCCCGATTTGACTAGGCTAGTCTTGAACTCGCTCAGTAGCTCAGGCAGGCCTTGAATTTGAGATCTCCCTGCTTCTTCCCCCCATGTAGCTAGGATGGCAAGCCTGTGCTACCAGGGTAAAATGGGCTACCATACCAGGCTTGGATTCTTAGGTTTTAAACACAAGGAACTGGGGCTCAGTAAAGTAGTTTGAACCTGTGTCTGCCTACTCCTTCCACAGAAGCCTTTTTAAAGTCTAACTCAACAGTGACTCATGCTTGGTTATAGGGAGAGCCAGAGAGGCCGAGTCCAATGAGTTCATTCCCTCCTCTACCGGCCGCATTCACCCCCAAATACCACCTAGCCATCGTCCAGGGTTTGGGCTGGAATCCCTGCATTTTCCTTTTTTGTACATGCCACCATATCCCTTGTACCCGAGTTATTTCTGATTAAGTGTGAGCCAGTTCTAAGTCCTTTTTAGAAGAGTGGGGTATAAATACCGTGTGGATAAACAATTACGTCTGCGGCTGCACAGACTAGGCGTGCGGAAGGCGGGGGCTATCTCTACTTATCTCCTTTTATTGTCTGCGATGCAGCTTAGGGGACACACGAGGCAGATGCTGAGCCAAGAGTTGCTAGGCACGCTGAGAATGTTTCCACATGGGGCCTTTCACAGTCGGCTTTGTTTTCAGACAGGGTCTAAAGCAGCCCATACTAGCCCCAAAGTAAATGTTACCTGGAGCTCCAGATCCTCCTGCCATCCTCCTGCCTTAGCCTCCCAAATCCTGGGAGGATAGCCATGTGCCATCATATCTAACTTGCTACATTTGCCTTTCGAAACATATATCTCCTTGTATAAACTTGAAATTGTATGTCTTTCCCTCAAGAGAAATCTTGGAACTGATTTGCTGAGTATCTTACTGTAGTGCTTATGATTTTTCAAAAGATTTTATTTTTACTTATTTATTTACTTTTTGGTTTTTTTTTCTTTTTTTTTCTTTTTTCTTTTTTGGTTTTCCGAGACAGGGTTTCTCCGTAGCTTTTTGGTTCCTGTCCTGGCACTAGCTCTTGTAGACCAGGCTGGCCTCGAACTCACAGAGATCCGCCTGCCTCTGCCTCCCGAGTGCTGGGATTAAAGGCGTGCGCCACCACCGCCCGGCTTACTTTTTGGTTTTTCAAGACAGGGTTTATGTGTAGCCCTAACTGCCAAGGAACTCACTCTGTAGACCAGGTTGGCCTCAAACTCACATGTTCTGCCTGCCTCTGCCTCTCCAGTACTGGGATTAAAGGGGGGGCCACTACACCCGGTTAAGATTTTATTTTTAATTATGTGTATTTTTTGGGTAAGTGCACATGCATACTGGAGCTGTCAGAGGCTGGAGGCATGGGATCCTCTGGGAGCTGGCCTTACAGGTGGCTGAGAGCTGCCTGATGTGGACTGGGAATCGAACTCAGGTCCTCTGCAAGAGGCACTTCTCTGGCCCCATGTATGCTGTTTTTAAGACAGTGTCTCACTGTAGAGGACATGCTGGCCTCAAACTCTGCTCTCCTGTCTCTGCCTCAGGGGTTGAGGTTTCAAGGCCTATCCCACCTCCTAGCTCCAAATTCTGTTTTTCTGAAAGGGTCGCCAAACAGTGTTTGCTGAAGACTTTCCTGTTTCATTCTGGTTACTTGTCGAGGGTGCCCTGGGATTTCTCAGGCTGGGCCTGCCCCCTCGGAGTCAGTCTGGTGATATCATCACCGCCACCATCCCTCCATTCACCGTTTCTGTGTCTCGTATGAATCAGGCTCAGGCGCTGGCAGGAAAGACAGAAAATAGTCGGGGATGACGTGTTGCTGTTCTCCCAGTTTGCAGTCTGGGAGAGATGCCAGACAAAACGAACGGTTTCATAAAATCCAAACATCATCGATGCTAAACAGGTTTCCTAAGTTGGGGATGTAGCTCAGTGGTAGGCAGCTTGCTTGGCATGCACGAAGCCCCGGGCTTGCCCTCTGCTATTGCACACACAGAAAGAGAGAAGAATGAGGCCTGACATGGTGGCATCACCTTTACTACCAGCATAGAGGATGCAGAGGCAGGCGGATCTCTGAATCCGAAGCCAGCCTGGCTTATAGGGTGAGTTCTAGCCCCTCCCCCTGTACCAAAAATGCTTGATTTGAGAAGGTTAACTATGGCAATCTTAGACTCGCTGAAATATGCAGTTTGAAGTGAACGTACTTCAATGTGCTAAGCCGTAGGACAGTCCTGGGAATAGTCTTTGTATGGATGAACTAGGTATGCTCACTCCCACCTGGGGAAACAAGGGGGATGGAGAGTGACTAACAGTAGCTATTATGTACTAGAAAGTTCTCCACAGAATTCATTACTTCTCATACCTCTGGGAGGTACAAAATGTTTGGAAACTGAGCAGAGAGGGGAGACAGAGGAGCCGTTTGTCTGGCGTCGGCTGCTCCAGCGTAGATAGCATGAGGATGAGTTTTGTGCATGGTGATAGATATGGGTCTATTTTCATTCTTCTACATGTTGATATCCAGCTATGCTAGCACCACTTATTAAATATGCTTTCTTTTTTCCATTTGATATTTTTTGCTTCTTTATCAAATATCAGGTGTTCGAAGATGTGTGGATAGATATCCGGGTCTTCTGTTTGGTTCCATTGGTCCTCCTGTCTGTTCTTATGCCAGTACCAGGCTGTTTTCAGTACTGTCGCTATAATATATTTTTTATATTTTATTTCAATTTATTTTATGTGTAGTGGTGTGAAGGTATCAGATGCCCTGGAACTGGAGTTACAGACTCTGTAGCTGAGCTGCCATGTGGGTGCTGGGAATTGAACCCAGGTTCTCTGGAAGAGCAGGCAGTGCTCTTAACAGCTGAGCCATCTCTCCAGCCCCTATATAATAAATTCTGATCACATTTACCCACTCCCTTTTCTTCCCTCACCTCTGCCAAGCCCTCCCTCCGTGTTTTTGTTTTTGTTTTGTTTTTGTTTAGCAGAGCAGTGTGGAGTGCAAGGCACTTCATTTTGGCCTTCTGGGCTTTCACAGAGAAGACAGAAGAGTCTGTGTCTAAGGAAAGTAATGAGGGGTGAGCTCAGAACCAACTGCAAATCCTGGCCCCACTCCCTCCCAGGTAAAACAGGATCATACCCGATTTTAACCAAACGGCCAAGAGACAGTAAAAATGGGATTTCCAGGCGGAGAGATGGCTGGTGGCCGGGAGGAGCTTGCTGCTCTTGCAGAGGTCATTCCCAGTATCTGCATTGGGCCATTTGCACCTTCCTGTAACCCCAGCTCTGAGGAATCCATGCCCTCTTTCTTCTGAGTGCCCTAGGCACTGCACATGCTTGCTGCATGTATATACACCGAGGTATTGAGGAGCATTATTAGTTTTTAGAAACCAGGGCTGAAGGTCGCTTTCCAGGCTGCATACAATGAGCTAGTTATTGTTGGTGAAGCTCCTACGGTGGTGCCAGGCTCACGTGAGACATGGTTTCGTTAGCCTTGGCTGTCCTGGATCTAGCTCTTGTAGACCAGGCTGGCCTCAAACTCACAGAGATCCGCCTGCTTGTGCCTCTTAAGTGCTGGGATTAAAGGCATGCGCCACCACCACCGGCTGACTTTGGAGTTTATTAAGGAATATTGATGGACTGGAGAGATGGCTCAGTGGTTAAGAGCACTGACTCCTTCACGGCTCAACCATTAATTTAAAAATTTTATGTATGGGTGTTTTGTCTGCATGTATGCATGCATGTAGTGCCCAAGGAGGCCGGAAGGCAGCATCAGATCCCATGGAACTGGAGTTACAGTGGCTTGTGAGCTGATATGTGGATGCTGGGAATTGAACCTGGGTCCTATGAAAGAGCATCAAATGCTTAAACATTGAGCCATCTCATCAACTGATGGTGGCGCACGCCTTTAATCCCAGCACTCGGGAGGCAGAGGCAGGCAGATCTCCGAATCTGAGGCCAGCCTGGTCTACAAGAGCAAGTTCCAGGACAGCCAGGGCTACACCGAGAAACCTTGTCTCAAAAAACCAAAACCAAACCAAACACTGAGGCATTTCTCTAGTCCCCCACCGCCCCCACCCCTTCTTTTAATAAAGGGTCTATTGAGCCTTGGCTGCCCAGAAATTATTCTGTGGATCAGGTGGCTTCCACCCACCTATGCCTGCTTCCTCACCTCAAAGGTGTCCAGCTTCACCCAGCTTCCTGAGATGGTCTCCATTGGCCTGGTGGGTGGTGGAGCCAGATTTGCTAGACTGCAGAGAGCTGCCAGGCACCTGCCTGTCTCTGCCCCCCCCTCCCAAAACTGGGATTGTAAACACCCATGATTCTGGGGATTAACAGGTTCTCATATTGTGTTGTCAGCACCTCACTACGCAATTTCTCCATGTATTTATTTTTTTCCGCTTTTTTTTAAACATTTTTTTTTAAATTTATTTATTTATTATGTATACAATATTCTGTGTGTGTGTATGGCCAGAAGAGGGCATTACAGATGGTTGTGAGCCACATGTGGTTGCTGGGAATTGAACTCAGGACCTTTGGAAGAGCAGGCAAAGCACTTAACCTCTGAGCCATCTCTCCAGCCCTTTTTTCCTTAAAAGTATTTTTTTGACACAGGTTCTCTACACAGCTCTGTCTTGGAACTCACTATGTGGAGCAAACCGGTACTGAACTCACAGAGCTCTGCTGGGGTTAAAGGTGTGTGTCATCTCACCCAGCCTTTTCTTTTTCTTTTTTTTAACTTCTTTTGAGATGGAGTCTCAGGGACTCCAGGCTGGCCTCCTAACTCACGGTGATCAGGAATAACCTCGAGTCTGGGCGGAGTGCTGGGGTCAGAGGCAAGCATCACCGTGTTGTCTCTATGCCCATGTAGCATAGCCCCACCCCCACCCATGTGCTTTGCTTTACCAAAAGTGGGGCAGTGTGCAGAAACCGCCCTTCAGATGCCACGTTCCTAGATGGTAAGGCCACATCTGTGTGGTCCCCCAGACAGGGCTGAACACTAAAAAAAGAGCTTTTTGATAGTGTTGGTTAAAGGGGAGCTTCCGCAAGGGCCCAGTATCACAGACGGATGCACCTCTGAACAATATCAAAGCTGACTCAGATCAGAGCACCTTCTAATAATAGCAGTGCTCAAAACAGACTCAGTTATTTCTCAACTGCCCTTAGAAGACTTCCTCACGGCAACACCCTGTGTCCCCAGAGTCCCGACCCTTTGGAGACAAGGTCACATACAGCCCAGGCCGGCCTGGAACTTCTGATTCTGCTTCCACCTCCAAAATACATTTGCCACCGCAATTTATGCTTTGCTGGGGGTCAAACCCAGGGCTTTGTAGACAGAAGGCACCGTACCAAGTGAGCCACATCCCAGCTTCCTCATCCTGATCCTTCAAGGATCCAAGCTGGACTTGCTGAGCATCTTCCTTTCCTCCCAGAGCTCAAGGCAGTAGAGCACTCAATCGCTATCCTCAGCACCACACACAAGTTGTTAGCCTATACTCGTTTATTTTAAAGGGAGTGTCTTACGTAGTCCAGGCTAGCCCCAGATTCATTATGTAACTAAGAATTTTATTGAACTTCAAGATCCTCTAGTGTGGGGCTGGAGAGATGGCTCAGTGGTTAAGAGCACTGACTGCTCTTCCAGAGGACCCGGGTTCAATTCCCAGCACCCATATGGCAGCTCACAACTGTCTGAAGATCAGTTCCAGGGGATCTGACACTTCACACCAATGCACATAAAATAAAGTTAAATAAACCATAAAAATATTAAAAAAAAAGATCCTCTAGCGTTCACCTTCAGAGTGCTTGTGTGTTCTACCATGCCTGGTTCCTAAAACATTTCTCCTTTCAGTGCTGAGGGTGACTTGACTGGGGTGTGGGCATGCTGGCAGGTGCTCTACCACTGACCTACAGCTCTAGCCCTTTATTCAGGTTTGACTCTGGTTTTAGCTGTGAAATGATTTTTTTAAAAATGTGTTTATTTTCTGTGAACTGGTGTGAAGGTATGAGATCCCCTAGAACTGGAGTTACAGACAGTTGTAAGCTAACAGGTAGGTGGGGGAACTGAACCCAGGTCCTTTAGGAAGAAGTCCCAGTGCTCTTAACTGCTGAGCCATCTCTCCAGCCCCCATGAAATGATTTTTATTTTTTATTTTTTTTGGTTTTTTGAGACAGGATTTCTCTGTGGCTTTGGAGCCTGTCCTGGAACTAGCTCTTGTAGACCAGGCTGGTCTCGAACTCACAGAGATCCGCCTGCCTCTGCCTCCCGAGTGCTGGGATTAAAGGCGTGCGCCACCATCGCCCGGCTATGAAATGATTTTTAAACCTTAAAGAATCTCAATAATTGACAAAGTGCAGATAAATCCTTAACACCTTCCAACCCATATAAAGTTAAAAATACCTTAATATGTTTCTAGAAGAAAGTTTATGGATTATGAGGAACGTCAACAACTGACTTAGCACTAAGTTAATGTCAGGCACTAATCCTCTAGGTACCTTTTGTTTTTTTATTTATCGTTTTTTGGTTTTTCGAGACAGGGTTTCTCAGTAGCTTCGGAGCCTGTCCCGGAACTAGCTCTGTAGACCAGGCTGGCCTCGAACTCACAAGGATCCACCTGCCTCTGCCTCCTGAGTCTCTAGGTACCTTTTTTTTCAAAAAGATTTGTTCATTTTGTCTTGCTTGTATGTATGTGTGTACATGTGTGTTTGGTACCCATGGAGGGGAGAAGAGGGCATCAGATCTGGAGCCTAGAACTATTTATCAATAGTTGTGAACCATTGTGTGGGTGCTGGGAATCCAACCTGGGTCCTCTGCAAGAAAAACAAGTGCTCTTAACAGCTGAGCCATCTCTCAAGCTTCCCTTTCCACTCTTGTTAAGATTTAAGTAATAAAATGATTGGTAAGCCGGGCGGTGGTGGCGCACGCCTGTAATCCCAGCACTCGGGAGGCAGAGGCAGGCGGATCTCTGTGAGTTCGAGACCAGCCTGGTCTACAGAGCTAGTTCCAGGACAGGCTCCAAAACCACAGAGAAACCTTGTCTCGAAAAAACCAAAAAAAATAAAAAATAAAAAAAAAATAAAATAAAATGATTGGTAAACTTTTTATTTTCTTTTTAAGTTTCTCAGCAGGGTTTTTTGCGTAGCGCTGGTCTAAAGCTCAGAGATCCTGCTGCCAGCCCTGGAGTGCTCGGGCTAAAGGCGTGTCCACCACCACCGGGCATTTTCACAGTAGTGTCACGTCAAGAGACTTCTCAGAAACTTCTTTCTTGTTTTCCGAGACAGGGTTTCTCCGTGTAACAGCACTGGCTATCCTGGAACTCTTTGTAGACCAGGTTAGCTTCGGATTCAGAGATCCACCTGCCTCTGCCTCCCTAGTGCTGGGATTAAAGGTGTGTGCCACCATTGCCCAGCTTTTTGTATTTTTGAGACAGGGTTTCTCTATGTAGCCTTGGCTGTTCTGAGTGTTGGGATTAAAAGCGTGAGCCACCACCACCAGGCCTCAGAACTGATTTCCTAACCTATCCTATGAAGGTAGTATCAATCTCAGTACCACTATATTCAATGATACAGGTCGGGCATAGTGGTGAATCTCTTTTCCCTGCACTAAAGAGGCAGAGGCAGGTGGATCTCTGAGTTCGAGGCCAGTTTGTTTACAGACCATGTTCCAGGACAGACAGGATGCACAGAAAAACTGTGTATGTGTGTGTATGTGAGGGGGAAGGGGGACCAAACCAACCACACGGTAACAAAACAATCACACAACAATGTGAAGTGCTGTATATAGCAGATGTCAGGTGTTTATCGTCTGGCTCACAAACATCTGGCCCTTCTGCGCAGGAGCAGCTGGAGGAGATGGAGGAGAGACAGAGGCAGTTACGAAGCGGCGTGCAGGTCCAGCAACAGAAGAACAAAGAGATGGAGCAGCTGAGGACCAGCCTCGCTGAAGAGCTCTCAACGTATAAGTCAGTTTTCTCTGCTTCCCAAGCCACGTCTACTACTGACTGATGGGGGGAGGGCTCACGGAATATCTTATCTAACGAAAGAAAACAAAATCATTTGGGGAACTGACTTTCAAACAGTTGGAAACCGGCTCTCTCTTTTTAAAGGGCTATGCTACCCAAGAGTCTGGAACAGGCTGATGCAGCTACTTCTCAGGCAGGTGGAGTCGAGGCCCAATCCCAAGGTGATCTTCGTGCACAGATGACAGGGGGTTTGCTCGTTATCGCTGCTTTCCTAACAGTACTAATGCCTTATCTGGAGGGTCTTAGCTGTTACCCTTGCTTGGGATTCTCTTACCTGAATGTGTAGTTACAGGCATGTGCCTCTGTACCTGGTTACTTAATATCTTTTTATTATTGTTATTTTTTGGTTTTTCAAAACAAGGTTTCTCTGTGTAACCGGTGTGGCTGCTCTGGAACTTGCTTTGTAGACCAGGCTGGCCTCGAACTCAGAGATCTGCCTGCCTCTCCCTCCCAAGTGCTGGGATTAATGCCTGAGAAAGCTTTAATTTTTAGTGAGACACAAAATTACATTTGGCCATTTTGCTGGGCCTCACCAATAATTTTTTTGAGACAGGTCTCACCTTGTAGCTTTGGTTGGCCTTTTGTGTAGGCCATGTTGGCCTTGAACTCACAGAGAACCACTTTCCTCTGTCTTCCAAGTACTTGGATTAATTACCACGATCGTCAAGAGCTTTTTGTGTTTTATTTTTCAAGATAGAGTTTCTTTGTAGCTTTGGAGCCTTCCTGAACTAGCTTTTGTAGACCAGACTGGCCTCGAACTCTCAGAGATCAACCTGCCTCTGCCTCCCAAGTGCTGGGATTAAAGGCGTGCACCACCACCATCCAGCGTCAATAACTTTTATATTACAGATACATCATCTAGTGGCCGGAGACGGTTCAGCAGTTAAGAATGCTAGCTGACGAGATCAGGCGCGTTCAGGGTGGTATGGCCTTAGATGGGTAGTGGTGGTGCACGCCTTTAATCCCAGCACTCGGATCTCTGTGAGTTCGAGACCAACCTGGTCTACAGAGCTAGTTCCAGGATAGGCTCCAACGCTACAGAGAAACCCTGTCTCGAAAAACCAAAAAAAAAAAAAAAAAAAAAAAAAAAAAAGAATGCTAGCTGAGAATACAGGTTTGGCTCCCAGAACTCACATGCAATTCAATCATCTATAACTCCAGTTTTAGAGGATCTGGTGCCCTCTTCTGGCCTTTATGAGCACCAGGCACAGGCATACACGCAGGCAAAACATTCACTCACACGTAAAATAAAAGATATTTAAAGCAAACAAAATCCAGGCTCTATATACATCCTTCCAACTCTGATATTCAGTTTCCTTGGTATGGCACAAAAGACAATCCTATTATCAAATTAACACTGACAAAGGAGGCCAACAGGAATAAATGACTCAGTTTAAAAACCATTGAAGATACTCCTGGAGCCCAAATTTAGTCAATGTATAAAATAATCACCAAGCCGGGCGGTGGTGGCGCACTCCTGTAATCCCAGCACTTGGGAGGCAGAGACAGGCGGATCTCTGTGAGTTCGAAACCAGCCTGGTCTACCAAGGGAGTTCCAGGACAGGCTCCAAAGCTACAGAGAAACCCTGTCTCGAAAAACCAAAAAAAAAAAAAAAGAGCTAATTCCAGGGCAGCTTGAGCTGTTACATAGAGAAATCCTCTTTTAAAAAAAAGGACAACAAATTAAAAGAACAAAAAAAAAAAACATTTTTTTTTTTTTTTTGGATTTTCGAGACAGGGTTTCTCCGTAGCTTTGGTTCCTGTCCTGGAACCAGCTCTTGTAGACCAGGCTGGCCTTGAACTCAGAGATCCGCCTGCCTCTGCCTCCTGAGTGCTGGGATTAAAGGCCTGCGCCACCACTGCCCGGCTGCCTGGCAAGATTTTATACATAGTATTTGCCTGTATGTATGCCTATGGACAAGAAGAGGGCACCAGATCTCGTTAGAGATGGTTGAGAGCTATGTGGTTTCTGGGAATTGAACTCAGGACTTCTGGAAGAGCAGCCAGTGCTCTTAACCTGAGCCATCTCTCCAGCTATTGCCTGGCAAGATTTTATTTTTTGTGTATAGGTGTTTTACGATGTGTATATTTGTATACCATGTATGTACAGTGTCTACAAGAAGCCAGAAGAGGGTGTCAGGTGGCCAAAAAGAACATTTGTTGCTCGTGTCAAGGAACATGCGTCAGTTTCCATGATTCTCCTCAGGCAGTTTTCAACTCCTTGACTCCAGCTCCAGGGGATATGGTGTCTCTTTCTGACCTCCATGGGCTCCTGCGCACACATCACACACCCTCAAAAGTCAAAACAAAACCACCAGAACTTTGAACTTGTCCTGCCTCATCCCGAGTGCTAAAATTGTTGCCATACACCACGTCTGCTTACTTTATTCTCTCACCCCACTGTCACAGATGACTATATTTAGTTTTTATATTGTAGCCAGGTATGGTGGTACCAGGCACATGACTTTAACTTCAACACTAAGGAGGCAGACTGGATCTGAGTTAAAGGTCAACCTGGTCTACATAGTCAACTTCAGGTCAGGCAAGGCTACATGGTAAAATCAAACTAGTCTACCCTCAGAAAACCTTGGAAGCTCATTGTTATAAAACTTTTTAATGTATTATTTCAAACTGTACAAAGTGCAAACTTAATTGTATTTCTTTCAATCTTACAGGAACTCTTTAGAAATGTATGGCCGGATATGTAACCCAGAAACAACAAAGCATTTGTATCAAAGCACCACCAGGGATGGACTTTTCACCAAACAGGAAAGAGTGCCAGCAGTGGGCAAGCAATTCATCCTGTGAAAATTGCCCAGAGATTTTAGGGTCGGCTGGAAGCAGAATACCAGTCAACTGGCATTATCTGGATTCTTTCTGTAGGCTGCTAGTACTGATCGTAACGTACTGTGGGATGGGAAATGAGCCTTTTTATCCTTCAGCAGCACACACATAACAGATGTATCACATCTGGCAATATTGTGAAGATTATTTATTGCTTTGTGCTGACCCAAACCAAGAACATTCAAGGGGAAAAGTTGGGGTCAAAAGGCAGTCAATCTTTGCTATACAGATCCACTACTTGGGTCCCTTTGAGCTATGGGCATTAGATTTTAAATAACTCTTTCACAAAGCTATTTCCCCCTTAATGTCTGCACTCAAATATTTACTCTTAAAACAGAGCCAAGATTCCTATTTTTTTTTTTTTTTTTTGACAAAGGACCTCATATATAGCCCTGGCTGGCTGAGAACTCACTTTTCAGACAATGCTGGCCCTGAACTCACAGAGATCCGCCTGCCTCTACAGTACTGAGATTAAAGACAATGTCAAGTTTGTCTTTTTTGAGACAAGATTTTCAAGTAGTCTAGGCTGGTTTCTAACTTGTTATGTAGGTCAGGATGACCTTGAACTTCTGATCTTGCCTCTACCCCCAATTACTAGGATTACAGGTGTCCGTCACCGAGACACTCCTCTCCACACACACCCAAGGTATCACCATGTAGTGATTTGGCTTTTTTGGAACACATTACATAGACGAGGGCCTCAAACTCAGAGATCCTTAGTGCTGGGGTTAAAGACCTGTGCCATCACAGCCAGCCCGACATACACTAAAACGATGAGAACAGGAACCACTTCGAAATTGGACCAGACACTCCATTATTCAGCTTTCCCCAAAAAACATCACTGGTTCTGGAGGCGACAGTCATCTAGACAGTTCAAGCAAAATCAGTCATTTTATCTGGTTTTTGCATGTGCAAAGGCACTCATAACCAACCCTTTAAAAGTAGGGGGTCCAGTAAAAACACTGGACAGATATAGGGTCTCTAACACAAGCCTCTTTCAAGTTTAAACTCTGCCTTAAATTCTCTATTATACTGCCTTTGACATCTTAGAAATTTGTGTAGCTCTTTAGGAAAGACTTCAAAAATATGTAATTTTACCAAGACTAGTTTGTGTACTGTTAATGCCCTCACTTTCCCTGGCAGGAGTAAAGTCCTTTTTTTATGCTTCTGGATCAATTACATTTATTTTAATCTTGACAGTCAAGACCATGGAAAACAACTATCATCCAAAACAATTCTTCAGGAAGCCGGAGACTGGTGTTTGATGGATATTGAAAAAAAACTCAGCAGCACAGGACACTTTATAAAAAAGCAATTTATTCCATTATAAGCACTTACACAGTTAGTCATGGAGAGTAGTAACAGGCCTGATGGTGAGACAGGTCAACCAAAATGGAGATGGCTTCAAACTATAGTGGTCAAGGACTAACTCCTAAAAAAGCAACTCTTATCAAGGATTAATTTAATTTTAAAAACAAATACAAACTAGCAATTCACTTTCTCAACTTGACAGTTCACCAGTGGTCTGTCAGTTAAAAACATACATCTCACAACTTGGTGGTCCCAAGTTTAAAAAACAAAAACAAAAAAACCGCACAACAAAAGCCAAGTGAAGTAGGTGTCTGAGCCAGGAGTATAAATATTGCAAGATGTCATTTTTATTCCTGAATAAAATTTATTAATTTTTATAAATTTATAAATTTTTCCTCAGGAATTTTCTAGTAATAAACCCAGGTCTAAAGTAGCTTCAGAAATGAGGCATATTATGTATGATTATTTTTCTTCTTAAGCTATATCCCAAATTTTTCATATTCTCAAGAAAGTGACTAGAGTGGATAAGAAATAAGTGAAGTAGGTGTTCAAGCCAGGAGTATAAATATTGCAAGCTGTCATCTTACAATATTCATAGAAAATAATCACACACAATGCCCCATTTCTGAAGCCACCTTAGACCTGGGTTTGTTACTAGAAAATTCCTGAAGAAAAATTTAAATATAAGTCTGTGGCTTTGTTGAATTAAGCCCCCCAGTTAAAGATTTAGAAAACACCCATGGTTTGGGCTAATAGTATTGTTGGTGGCACCTATTGTAGCCGGATAGCTGAACAAAGTCTGTGTCTCAAACCAGTGTTAAATCCATCTCAGGGTTCAGAAGAAAACAAGGGGAGTCTAAATCACAAGTGCAGACATGTCTAGGATCCTTGTCCTTCTGGATCCACACTTCCTTCAGGGTCTTCATCATTGTAAATGTTCTCTGCCTGCCAGAGAGAGAAGGCAGTTATTTCTTTTCTTCCCTCGCCCCCCCTCGGGTTTGGAGTCTATCCTGGAACTCCCATAGATCTGCCTGCTGGGATTAAAGGTGTGTGCCATTACTGCTCAGCAACAGTTATTTCTTGAAATCTATTTCCATAATATATTATGCCAAGGTGCCTGATTACAAGGTCCCTGATAACATTTCAAATAAGGCCATATAGTTCTAACTATTCAATGCTGTTGCTGAATGAAATAGCAACAGACAACATGAATCACAAACAGAACAGGTGTGTTCCAGTACAAAGTAGGCGCAGGCCACAGCTTCTACTACAGGGCATTTTTACAAAGTGTGATGATCTTCATTCCTGAACTCTTAAACCAGATATATTATTGGTAATAGCTAAAATATAAACCAGGTTTCTTTTTTTTTTTTTTGATTTTGAGACAGGGTTTCTCTGTAGCTTTTGGTTCCTGTCCTGGAACTAGCTCTTGTAGACCAGGCTGACCTCGAACTCACAAAGATCGGCCTGCCTCTGCCTCCCGAGTGCTGGGATTAAAGGCGTGCACCACCACCACCCGGCAAACCAGAGGTTTCTATGAGACACGCAGAAATTGATGCTTATAAGCAAAGAATTTTTTTCAAGGATGACAAAAATATTCTAGTATTTTTTTTGTGATGTGTAACTCTGGAGTAGGAAAAAAACTCATTGAATAGTAAATTTAAATGAAAATACCCAAACTTTATATGCAAATTTCAATTTATAAATGTCTTGAAAAGCTACTTTACATAACAAACACCCACCCCCAGTAGTTGATGAAATGTCTAAGTCTAAAATCAAATGCGTGGAACCAAGAACCCAGTCACATCAACAATCACCAATACCAGACCTAACAGGCATCACCTCAGGAGCGCTGTAACCCCAAATCTGCAGGCTTACCCTGTCACTTCTATCCAACATTGCTATAAAATTTGAGGGTTTAGCAAAAACTCCTTTGACTGGTTTGAAAATTTGCTATGATTCTAAAGAATGAGATTTTGATGTTTATATTATACGTGTGATCTCTTGTTTCAGCTTTCCCAAGATCTAGGGTATAATACCCTGCTTATTCCTGGGGTATCTATTTTGTATGTCTGTATTTAGAAAACCCAGGGACCAAATGGAAGAGATACAGGAGGGAGCAGAGCGTATTACTCTCCTAGCAAATCAATGTGACTCCAAGAATCTGGATGCTCAAACTATCTAGAGCAAGCTAAGAGCTTAATCTCCCTTCCCGACTGGGGAGGCAGAGTTCCAAGAGGTTAATTTTCAGCACTCCTGTTGACTGCCCAGCTGTGAGGCCACCCAGGGGCCTCACCAAAGACTTAGGAACAGACTCAGGTGTGGTACAAAAGGCATCATCATCATGAGCAGAACTGAGCTACAAATCCCAGTGATTTCTTAGCAGAACCATGCCAAAACACAGGACAAAATCTAAGCAGGTACTACTTATATGAACATAACAAACAGAGGCAGTGACCCTGGAGGGGATCTAATTCATCTCTCTACAACCCTTTCTTTTGGTCATTTTTCTCCAAAGATAGGCTTTCTCTGCTACCCTGGAACTCACTCTGTAGATCAGGCTGGCATCGAACTCAAGAGATCCACCTGCTTCTGCCTCCTGAGTGCTGGAACGAAAGGCGCACTTACTTTCCCACCCTGCCTCCTTCTTGGCTTTTTGGAGACAGGGTCTCTCTAGGTAGCCCTGGTTTTCCTGGAACTCAGTGTAAGCTTCAAAAAGCAGAGATAAGATAAACTGTCTCTTAGTTCCCAGTTCACAACTGCCTGTAATTCCAACTCCTTCTGGCCTCTAAAACCAACACACACACACACACACACACACACACACACACACACACACACACACTAAAATAAATCTTTACAGGTGATAGTGATGGCAGCAGTGGGTATGCTTTTAATCTCAGTGCTTGCCTTTTATCCCAGAACTTGGGAGGCAGACGCAGGCATATCTGTGAGTTCAAGGCCAGCCTGGTGTCTACAGAAGAGTTCCAGCGTGGCCAGGACTACAAAAAAATCCTGCCTAAAAAAACAAAACAAACCATTCCTTTCATAATTAAAATGACACAATCCTTACAGTGCCATTCATAATCTATGTCAACTAATAAAAATGACTTATGAAATCTTTAAAGTACCAGCAATAAAAATTTTACATTTTAAGGTAAATTTTAATATATAGTTATGACAATACAGAAAAATCTACTACCTATCTCTCCTCTTCTTTCAAAAAAGACCAGGGCTTTCAGCAGGGTGGTGGCGGCATATGCCTTCAATCTTACCACTTGGGAGGCAGAGGCAGGCAAATCTTTTTGAGTTCAGGCCAGCCAGGATTGTTACATAGAGAAACCCTGTCTCAAAACCAACCAACCAACCAACCAACCAACCAACCACTATATCAAGATTTAAAGCAGTTAAAGACTGCTTAATGCTATGAAAAAAATAATCAGAACTTAAAACTGGTAAGTTACAAAAATCTTAAAAACAAAACAAAAACAAAAAACCCCACATGTGTCTTTACATTGCTCACACAGCAGTGACCTGGCTTATAAACAAGCACACAAAGTTGTTAACAGTCCCAGCTCCCTTTGAGTTCATAGTGTAACGGTTCACAACTCAAAAGCCACAGCTTCCGTTACCAAAAAGCTAAACCTGGCCACATAGTAATAACAAAAAACAAGGGCTGGAGAGATGGCTCAGAGGTTAAGAGCATTGCCTGCTCTTCCAAAGGTCCTGAGTTCAATTCCCAGCAACCACATGGTGGCTCACAACCATCTGTAATGGGGTCTGGTGCCCTCTTCTGGCGTGCAGGCATACACACAGACAGAATATTGTATATATAATAAATAAAATAAATATTATAAAAAAAACAAAACAAAACAAAAAACAAAATTTAGTCTGTGTCATCTCGGGGACTACCCGGGGAAAACTGTTCAAAAACCAAAAAGAAAAAAGTACAAACAAACAAAAACCCAACAGGGAAAACTTCACCTAAACATCGAAGCCACACCTGAAGAAAACAGAGCAGAGATGACAGCTGCATCCGAAGTGTGTGTGATGATGGTCTCATGTATCTAATGTCCCCTAAATAAATTGCTGAACACTTACCATCTGCCACACTTGCATGATATTGTCTTCTGATACAGAACAAATCACCCAAGGTTCATTGGGATTCCAGGAGAAATCAGATATCTTGGCAGTGTGACCACCATGAATAAACTGGAAGAGGGACCAAAACCAAGACATTAAACACAGACAACATTAAATCATAGCCTACTGCTTAAGCACAGAAGACCCCAAAGTACCTGAAAGGTTATAACGTACCAGCAACTCTGGTGGGCCATCTTCTGCATCTTCTGGGGACTGTTCTTCTCCAATTTTACTTAACAAAAAAGAATTTTAAGTCAGAAAACACCACCCTGTGTGGTAGCTTGAATATAACTGGCCCCCATAAGCTCACAGGCACTATTAGGAGGTGTGGCTTGTTGGAGGAAGTGTATCACTGTGGAGGCGTGCTTTGAGTCTCGTATATGCTCAAGCCACATCCAGTGTCTTAGCTCACTTTGTTGTCTGCACAAGATGTAGAACTCTCAGTCACTTCTCCAGACCATGTCTGCTGGCATACTGCCCTGTCACATCATAATAATGGACTAAACCTCTGAATTATAACCTACCCAATTAAACATTTTATAAGAGCTGCTGTGGTCATGGCTGTCTCTTTTTTCTATAAAGAAAACCTAAGACAGCCTGAGCACTTATCTTTGAAAAATGTAAAGATGCCAGGTGGTGGTGGCGCATGCCTTTAATCCCAGCACCCATGGAGGCAGAAGCAGGCGGATCTCTGTGAGTTCGAGGCCAGTCTGATCTACAGAGTAAATTTCAGGACAGGCTCCAAAGCTATAGAGAAACCTTGACTCAAAAACAAAGACAAATGTAAAGACAGTAACTTTGCCAGGCTTGGCACTCAGGAGGCAGAAAGAGGTGAAATTATTGAGTTTGA